GGGGGGGGGGGGGGGGTGAGGAGCGTCATTTTTCTCTGCATATCCATTTGCCAGTTGTCCGTTCCCATGGTCGCTTGCAAACAAAACAAGTGCCAAGGTGTGTGGCCGCGAGCGGGTCGAACGTTACGGCGAAAAAGCAGCTCGCTGAAGCGTCCGCGATGAGGAATTTTCATATCGCGACGCTTTTCATTCTCGCGCGAGACTATGATCCTTTTGGGAGGGGGGGCTGACAATTGGGGATCTCTGTATGTGTACATGTGTAAATTTATGTACCTTCGTTCTTATGTATATGAATATGTGTCTTAGGTAAATTTTTGTATAATATATCTGTACACAGAGGTAGCTTAACATACGTGGGTACTATAGTGAAATTTTCGCTTCCATTTTTTACCAGACCACTTTTTGCTCTTATGCTAGAAGGAAAATTATTCTTTGCTCATGTAAAACTCTCTCATTCGGTTACATGGGTAAACAGTCGTTTAACTTGATAGGACAAATTCGATTAGACTTTATTTATGATACATTTTTTTTTTTTTTTTTTCGTAAAATTACATAAATACAGGTGGCGTCGTATGGACGGGAAACGTGGAGGCGACGGAAAGGACTTTAAAGGGGAAAATGATAAGTGGAAAGATTCGGAACACTTCCGGCTTGACGGATAGCAATTTCGTGGAGATTATACGAGGTACGCTTGGTGAATTTGCGGAGACACGAGATGGGATCTTTGCGTTTATATTATCATCGTTATTTGTTTTTCGCGCGTGGAAAAACTGGCTAACACAAAATGGGTTGGTTTTAAAATTTGTAGATTGTGTCAGTGTGTGTATGTGTCACGTGCCGTTTACGTCAGTATAATCCAATTCCGCACTTGCTTCCGTACTACGTCTCTCGTAAGAAGTACGCACCACGTGAAGCACTAAGTCGAGCAAATATAACGAAGGCAGATACGATTAGCAGGAAACACGTAAAAGGCAAATAAGAATAATATCCGGTAGGCATATGTAGAAATTTTCTATTTTACTACGTCTCGTAATCGCACGAGACTCGTATCCTTTTCTCAATTCATTTATCGCACGTAATATACGAATGCAGAATATTTCAAAAAAAAAAGAAAAATGAACATTTTCAAAAAAAAAGTAAGCATCTCCAAGCATTCCGTGGCTTTTGGATATATTCGTACGATCGGATCATAGAAAAATGTAATTTTTTGTTGAATGCGTTATTTAATTTGTTTCTTAAGAAAATCCCAAAACATGTCGGTATACCATTTCCGCGAATCACATGTGTTATTTATGATCTCGCACGTGAGCATGCGTTATCTCCGTGCGACGTCTATGGCAATTGGTCCAGACATGGTAATCGTATGAGAGTGCACCGAGGCCTTCCCTTCACACGTGTCTCCAAATATGTGAATATCTTCCACATACGTATGTATGTACACTGCTATGTTACTTCACACGTGCTCCGATTCAAGTACGCATCTACAAGCCCAATTCGCACACGCAACTAAACTCTCACGCATCGGAGGATACGATCGATCGTGCGTAAGGTCATATAGGAGATTTTGCATTACCGCAACCGTACACGTATGCATTGTTCACGTTATCCATCGTCGTGCATACTATGTAATATGCAGATGCGTTACTTTCATATGCGTGCATCCTCGCTGCACTCCCTACGTGTCCAAAGGAAGGCACGTTTAATGCGTGCGTCGTAGTCTTGTAAAAGAGACACACGGAATAGTAGCGACTCCCTTTACGGCCAAAGCGGCTGGACAAGATTATTATGGCAAGTCAGCAGTCTCTGGTCTCAAGAATGCCGCTCGCCACCATTGCGTCTGATTGGACCGACTGCCCCCGATCGCTTGTTCCCTCCTTTTCCTGATCACGACTCTCTGGAGCCGGCAATTCTCCTGCACCCTTATTATCTACCGCGCGTTTCATAACTTCGCGACGGTAGCGCATAAAATCGATGCCGGACGTCTCCCTACACATTTACCGATCAGACTGGAGGATCTGGATTGAATCGAGGATCGAATTCAAATCCTCGCTGCTTTTGTGTTTACTGGCTATTTTAGTTTTTTTTTTCTCAACCCTCTTACACAATATTAGTAATCGAGGATTTTGGTATGTAACGGGATTTTTAAAAAGTTATTATTTTTCGTTCTCGATATCGTTTTAAAAACGATATTATTTTATACGTACATACGTATATCGAGTATCCGTGATAAGAGAATCGTATCTTATACTATATTTCATAGACTGGCGGTATTGGCCTATCCAGCGGTGAACGTTCTCCGATTCGATTCTACATATGTCTAACTGTCAAAGGATTTACCGTCACCGAGAATCGTCCTGTAAATTTACTTTGTTGACATGACAGTCGCGCCGGGGCAGGTAAATATCGACGTGACGCCGTTGACAATAGCCCGAGCATCTATTTGGTACGTTGATAGAACAGTGTGCTCATCGAGAGAATTTCTCAAGGGTTTGACCCACTGCGTAACGATATTAATGTCATGACAATAGATTCGTTAGAAGATAAATATTTGAAAAAAACGACTCTTCGCTGGATACGAAAATACTTCGAAGAATTTTCCATTAGTCCGATTACGTTTTCCAATTCGAAAATTTCTGCTTTACGTATAGCCTCCAGGGAGACCAAGTAAATCTAGGTATTTCGAGTAGCAGTACTTGCAACGTATGTGGCATGTGTGTACCCGGCTCTTGGTAATACTATGCGGTTCATAGATGCAAACTCAAACACGCGGTACTGGAAGTATTAGACTAGGTAAGCTTTGGTGCAAGGATTATGGTAGCAACAAAGGACTGACTTGTTCCTGCAGTCGTAACTGCTGCTTTCACCCATAGGGCACATAGTACGTTCGTAATAATTTTCCCCGTGCACGTCGTGACCCTGTTTATCTTAGTCAAGATTCCCATGAGGTCATATACTCGAATAATCCGTCCATTTCGATAATGCAAAAAGTCCGTGGGTCGACAATTTTATATGTAGCAACAATGCAAACGGATCGAATAGCAACGCGACGCTGTTGCTGCAGAATTTGGACGCGAGCCTTGGGGAACCAAGCGGCAAAAGGAATCTTAACTGCGACGTATATCTATAGCTGCGAAACCAGTTTGCTCGACAGTTTTGCCCTCGTCCAATCTGAGCGCAGCGACCGAAACACGTGGTTTCCTTGTTGCAGCAAGACTTCTGATAATAATGAAGCGTTTGTACCGTGGGGATGCTTGGGTATATATACGGGAGCTGCATGCGCGGAAGCGGCTTACAGCATCCGCGGCTTCCAGCGCGATCACGTTCATCTTCATAGAAATCGAATTCGTTAGACTAGCTTTGCCGCCGAGACTGGGTGCTAAAGCGAACAAGTAGACTGTTGTGCATAGGGCTTGATTATTATTCGCGTGATTAATAACCATCGTGGGAGGGTTTTGGCTTTTGAATTTGGCGCCGATCGATCGACGCTGGAATTAACCGGAAACAGTTGACGAGGCTTGAAAGTTTCGCGAGGGCCGGGACCGAGCCCAGGTCCCGGGAGCCTGGGAAAAAGTGCATCCGCACTTGGGTAGTTTGTGAAGACTGGAACGATAAAATATTTTTTTTCTTACATTTTTTTTTCATCATATATATATATATATATATATCGTTGAGAAAATATTGCTGTACGGAAAGTATAGTGTGAAATTGACGGGAACGGAAATTGAGGTTTTATCGAATTGATTGGTGCATCCCGGAGACATTTAATTAATAGCATATCTTTGATAGACTGAATTATGTCGCGATTAATTAATTTGTGCATAAACTTCGGACTGTTGTGTGCGGCCGTCAATGTATCTGGCTTCATATCGCACAAACCTGAAAAACACGACGGATTTTCAGCCACGACAAAGTGCACGGATTCGGAGTTCACGTGCGGCAACGGAAAGTGCATCCCGGTGCGTTGGCACTGCGACAACGAGATAGACTGTCCGGACGGATCTGACGAAAATCCAGAAGTGTGCAGTGAGTAAATTTTCTATTATATATTTATATTTTTATTTGTAGCTTAAATAGATTTATTATCATTCAATTTTGCTCCTTGTTATTCTATCTAACGCGTACACGGTAACGAGTGCATCCCTACGATGCAGGCGATACTCGGATGTTGAATTTCTACCTGTGGTTTATGGAAACGTATCTAAGCCGTACTACGGTATCATACACTGTGGTTTGATATTCAATGGCAATTAATTCCACTTCGGTATTAGTACTCCAAATTGCAATCCTATTGAAGTGGTAACAGGTACCTTGAATACTATTCCTATATACGAGGTTAGCTGATACGTACTACATTTTCACTGAAGAGTATTCGCGAACTGTGTCGCCGATACCAGGAACGTCGTAATGCCAATTAAGGAAATATCGACCTCTTTTGTCCTCTTTTCTTTTTTTTTTCTCTTCGAGAATTGTATCAAGTTAGAAAAGCAGATTACACGTACCTTTCATCTCGGGCATCATACTGTTTTTTTTTTTTTTTTCTATCGGTCTAACAGACGTAGAAATTCATACGACCAGCTGAAAAAGGGGACACTCTCTCATCGAGATACATCACCATACACCACTCGTCGTGTCTATCGAGTTGAAGTTGGACTTCGTATAATTTCGAAGTAAAATTTTCGATATTTGCATCGTACGCGAGTGCAGCCACTGGGCTCTAATGGCAAAACTCACAGCCGAATGAAACTCGTTAATTTGCATATTAACGAGGGAGTCCGACTATGGACTGGTTATATGCCAATAGTCTTTGCCGGTAGGGACAAACTTTCCGTTGCTGATAATCAATCCTATTGGCCGAGGGCATCTAATTGCTCCGAATAAATTTCTACTTAATATTTATTAATCCTTATATGGACTTAGTGTGCGGCTGACTTTATTTACAGATCCAGCAAGCGCTTCGTGACAATACATATAATATCGTTCCAGTTACACGACGGCAGAAATGATTATTCGATAAATATAATGATCGAGCTGTACTTTTTTTTAAGCCCTGTTATATCTTTACAGCTTCCCATCGTGAAGGCCAATACGTTTTGGTCGGTTACAAATTGTCCAATGGATCATATCGATACGACGACGTTACTTGGGAAATCGTATATCGCTACGTTTTACCGCGTTTCTATGTTACCACTGTGCGGCTGGGAGGACGCTCGGAGAAATCGATAGATTTCACGCGAGACCATTTCGCATCGGTGGGACGATAAATCTCTCCGCGAGAGAAGCGAGTCAAGTCCTTTGCCTCGTTACGATTGAATTTTTCGGTTTGCCCGAGAATTCTCTTGGCATCGCAAACTCATATTCTCGTGACATAGAAACTGAGCTTGACGGATCTATTTCGTGGTAATTAGGAGATTTTATATTTTTCACGTTTATACAGTTTCTGTTGGACTTTACGGTTGTAAATAGAATTATGTCGCCACATGCGTATACGGCCTTACCAGGCTGAACTCTATTTACTTACGTGCGGGACGGGCTTATATTTTCATTATATTATAGTTGCTCGTAAATTCACGTAATTCCTTGCCGTGGTTTGTCTTTTGGGTAAAATCGCGGTTTCAGCTTCTACGAACAACGTATTAATTCTCTTTGGCAATGGCATAAGCTCTCTCATCCATGGACGCCACCGGGCTCCTTCATTTCCGGTGCTCCTCCCGTTCCGCTATTTATCTCATTCTGCGAATATATCTATCGTTGACTCAACGCCCTCTAGGACATCCCGGGTAACAACGGATCCGACCGATTTTAATTAGCTCAGAACTCTCCTACCGTACAATCGAGCCAGACGCGTAGAGCTGCCGCCGTCGCAGTCCGTGATTATACTTTTTTCTCGGCCCTTTGTTTTTGCGCGGCCAAAAAGCCACATCAGAGACTTCTTTTGCTAGGAAAAAGGCGTCGCGACGCCCACGGCTGTAACGCGATTTCTCGTTGTAGCGCCGCGACGTAAATTTTCTCACAGATCATCGTCGCGTCTTTATCGCGTGTTTTTCTTTTTTTCTTTTGCTTTTTTTTTTACGGTCGCTGCCGTCTATTATCGTCAACTATGCATCGCCTTCACCAATGACCCGCTCCAATTTCGCAATAGCGCCTTTATCGCTATTTCAGTACTTAAAAATTATACATGCTAGTACCGGGGTACGTTCTGGTTCCGCGTACGCGTATCAGTACATGGGTTAAGCGCATACACAAAGTATTTCCATGTAATTGCGTGGCGATGCCGACACGATGATTAAAAGGCTTCGATCGATCATACGATCGATTGCTTTCGATTTGGGCGAAATTGCTTAGCGTCGTTTTGCGATTTTCTTTTTCTTTGCTCCTTTTCACTAGTCCATTTCCGTTTTTGCGAATTTCCAATCGCTCCGGTTTTTCATGGGTGCTTTCATTATGCCACGTGCGCGCAAAACTACCGACAGTCAATCGACAGCCTCGGTATACCGTAAATCCCGTAATCTATCTCGCTTCGTGTAAACCGCCCGAATGCAAATACATACAACTATATACACTAGCTGTTTTACATATCTCAACGTGTTTTCATCGAGCCAGACCCTGTGACCGTCGTGTCTTTACCGGCTGTGCAAATAATAATTTTACCGCTATACATCTCGGTCTCGATATTAAAAATCGTGGTTGGACGTCGCGAGGCTAAAAGTCGATGAAAAAATAAATTTTCATCCATATACGACGCAACGAAAATTACGTCAATCCCCAGTTGTACTCTAGTGCGAACAACATACATTTTTCAGTAACTTCGAAATGGGACGCTAATAGACCACGTTTACGGAAGTATGTCGGCTATTTGGCAGCCACGTTACATTTTCTTGATACTTATTTTTGTGTGTATATATAAATATACACGTATGCCGTTCCATTTTTTGGTCACCCCGATAAAACGCGTCGTTTCGTTTTCACGTGTGTCTGGCGCTTATATAATATCGATCTAATGCAACGTATATCGGGCGCCGACGATTAATTTCGATTGGCGTCAATCGATCACTGCAATCTGCATCGACATGCATCGCTGAAGGTAACAGGACAGCCGTTATTATGCACTTTATTCTATGATAGATACGAAGGAAAACAAGAATTGAGAAAAAATTTAAAAAAAATTACAATAATATACATTCTCGATCGAACGAGTTTTACACGAACTACCGGTCCTTTCATAAGATAATCATATAACTCTTATCGGCCATATCGTATACACCGGCTCTTTAATATGCGTGACCCCTGCACCTGACATCCGAAACACGCAAACAGCAGTGACTTTCCTATGCTAATGGGGAAATACGGTTGACGCTGGAAATTGTCCTTGAACATAATTTTTTTACCATCTTCCATATGCTGAAGAAATAGCATTAATAGTTAACGAAAAAATAATTAATTTCAATCGTTACGAACCTTTCGTATTTTTATTCGATGAATCGAGTAAACGTCATCGTATCGATATGAAAATTCGCAATTCTCCACAACTCAATCAAACACCTATCATCGATCTTGTGTCAATTGTGTGATTCATCTGTCAATCAATGATCAATAGGTTTACGGCCGTGCACAGAAACCGAGTTCCAGTGCAGTCCAGGCACGTGTTTACCCATCTCCTGGAAATGCGACGGACAGCCCGACTGTCCCGACAGTTTAGATGAGACAAACTGCGAAAGTAAGTTTTCCAGGTTTCCTCTTTCTGGCGAGACGAGAACACGAGGAGCGCAGCGGAGAAAAGACCAGCGGAAACGGCGTGAGCAGCGCGAACAGACGACAACCCCCGAGGAAAACGGTATCGAGGATTGCACCGTTATTGCTTTTGAGCCCGGCGGGTGTTTTCACGATTTTTCCAGAACGTCCCGACGCCTCGCGTCTTATACCTTACAAGAAAACACGGTGCGATCCGCGAAACGGTGTCCTTAAAAACATCCCATCCGAACGAAATTCCTATAGCAATTTTTGCATGTGTATATATACTATATATATATATATATACACATTACATAATATAATTGTGCGTATATAAACAACATATATATACACAACTATATCTGCATGTCTCAAAAATCATCTACCGTTTTCTATTATTTTGTTTTGTATTCACGTAACTCTTATCACATCTGCGCTCATAATTAATGACTGTATCAAAGTAATTACACATGTACATATATCCATCTAATGTGGTAGGCGCCGCAACGCATACTCGCAGTGCCGTTCGCCCGTTCTAACCCTGGTTTACAATGTTTCGCCAAATTGTCGCTTTTTAGGTGTCAAGAATTGCACGGCGGATCAGTTCACGTGTCACTCGGGAAACGGAGAATGCGTGTCGTTGAGCTGGATGTGCGACGGGAACCCGGACTGTTCGAACGGTTCCGACGAAGCTGACTGCAGTAAGCTTCTGCACGAGTTGCATCACGTGCATAGCATGCCTGCCGCGTGCATGCATGCATAATAAACGGTTTTCAGGGTTGTTTTCTTTATTATTGTGTATATTCTTCTTTTGTTTTTTTTTTCCCCTTTAACCCTCACAGACCTGCAGGTATAATGTGTCCCATTAGTCTACTGCCAACTTGCACCCTGTATAGGTCTGCAGGGGTTAGCTTGTTATTTGCACGAATCACTCGTCTCGAGCGAAATGTAGTAATCTCTTGTGCTGCTGATGACGTCATGCTTTGTTTAGTGTTCACCCTTCAATGTTGCAGTTCTACGATGGCTTTGACTTGAAAATGCTTGGCAATGTGGATTCTTATTGATTCGCTGCTTATCCATCTAATATGCTGTGTATCATTAATGCATGTCGTTCCTAGATTACTGGGAAGATGCACTTGTTTTTCCGCAATGCACTTTGTTACGCTGCTGTCTGTGCATCTTGTATTTCTCTGCTGTTACTGCGCATGCGTGCTGTGAAGATTCTTGACCTCTTCCTCACTTCACTCATCTTCGCTTGCTCCATCCACGGTTACTTCTCCCGACACTCGTTCGTCCTCCTGTTGTCTATTCTTGCACTGTACTCTGCACCGTCGTTGCTGCTATTTTCTCCTCTCGCGAAGGATCGCTAATAAGCGGCTGAGAATCTCTACGACGTTGCGTCAGGATACACGGATAACATGGTATTTTAATTATATTGAAATTAATTTTTCTCTTTCTTTCTTTTATTTGCATACTTTCGTTATCAGTTCGTACACCCGGTGTTCGATTCAAAATTGTACTATACTTTTTTTTTTTTTTTTTTTTTTTTTTTAAC